TTCCTTTCACTTTATGTCGTGTACTTATTCAGGGATGAAACATACACTGGCAGTGGGTCAAGCAAATACTCGAAATTCAGGACCTTAGATCAGCTACACAGGAACCCAAGGTCAAGTTTCGTTTGTGGGAGGGGTGGAATATCCCGCCGCTTGGTCTCTGATAATGACTTTGCATCTGGGCCTCCTTATGGCCCGTCTGATTATAGGCCCGTGAGACGGAAAAACTTCGGCGATGTATACCCTCGAAACACGAATGGCAAATTCATGCGGCATTCACCCCATGACATCATGGAGCCTGTTGATGACCTCGGCCCGCGAAACAGAACTTTCTCCACCATGCAGAGAAAGGGCTATAAACGAGCCCGCCATAAATCCCGTTCCCGCTCGCCCGGCCCATGGGCCCTGCCTTATTACAGGACGAGAAGAAGGATGAGTTCCCCCGACCAAGAATGGTCTGGAGATGGGATTGTCTACAGAAGGCGCAGGTCCCCGTCATATGGGCCTGTACGCCGCACTAACAGGAGAGTTTCACCCGAACGGGCCTTCTTGAGGAGCGGTAGGAGGGTCAATGATCGTGATGAGTATTTGAATCGCCCGAGCACTAAATTCCAAAGGAGGCGTGGGCCTAATTGTCAGTTTCGGCAAGGTTATAATGGTGATGGTGAAAATTTTCGCTTTTTTCAGACAGATGATGGTTTTTTTTCGGATTCGGATGGTGAGTTTGTAGAGAAAGAGCTTGATGGACGTGTGGAGCATTGTCGGGGCTTGTCGAGGAGGATTAGAAATGTTGTGGAGCAGGAAGATAAGGATTACGGGCCAGTCGAGCGGGCCAAGCCCGATGATGGTGGTTTTGGTGATGGTAGGGGTAAGAGGAGATTCTGAGTTGCAGGGCCACAGCCCAATTCTCATACCAGTATGCATTAAGTTTGAGGATTTTTTTTTAAAGTAGTTGAAGTTTTGAGTAACCATATCCGCGTTCGAGCTATATGAAGAAGTTTGATTTTGGTAGTGTTTTCCAGTTGAAACTTACGAGGTTCGAATTAGATTTTTGCAGCATAATGGGAAAAGTTTGACTAATTGCATAAAACTGCCCTTTTGAACTGAAGCGGGGCTTCTTCGTGATACTCTTGGTTTTCTTTTCGTGTTACTGTCGTAAAACTTGACGACAATGTGGCATCTGGAAATCGAGGGGTTGACGATTTTTACCTTGTGAGTTTTTCGTCTGTCTTCTCACAAGTGGTTTGTTTACAGCAAATCTTGTGGATAGCTCTCAGGTAAGCCCATGAATGGTTGAACTTTGAACTTTGGATTTGTTCTATACAGTAACATCATGAACAAGTGAACTATTATGATTGCATATAGTTTTCATTACACAAAATACCCCTTCACAAGGAAAATTGATATATGACAAGACAATAGATTGGAAGGAAAATAAATTTCTTGAAAATCAGCAAACTCCTTCAAATTAGTGAAATCTACAAATAAACCTATAATCTGTAGCCACATCATGGCAGCTTGGGTTGAGTTCATTAAAATTGTGCTCATATGGACAAATTCGATTCTATAGTCCTTTACAGGATTATTTTTTAATCGCTGATCACACATAGTAAAACACATATCCATATGTGTGCGTGTTGATCTGGTAAAAAATCTCCCAATAGAACGAATGAATTTGGGCTCGTATGTCATTTGGAATTCGAGACTTTCTCTGTAGATGTAATCAGTCAAATGCTTTCTACTAATGAAAATGGCATAGAATTAAAAGAAAATTCTACATATTGAAAGGGGCAACTATTAAGAATGTCCTAATAGTGAAGGAGAGACCATCTGCCTTTTGTAAAGATTTGTATGTGTTAGTCAAGTATGGTAAAAATGTAATAATTATACTTACATAGCTTTCTAGGTTTTGTTCTTCTCCTTTGCCCACCTACGTCATTATCATGATCTCTAAAGAGAGATCGTGTAGATATGTCTATGATTATAGATCAATTTCAGTTTAAAACGAGTTTTTGCATTTAATGATTAAATAATTAAGTATGTCAAAATTGGTGAAAATTTGTGCGCCAAATGAGTAGATTTTAATATTGGGCATTGTGTAAGTTCGACAACTCAATGAATCTACTTTTTGTACCGATTTTATGGTTTTAGTTTTTTTAAACGAAGACTTATGAAGTTTTAAAAACTATTGTTGGGTAATTGAGAAATTAATTTTAAATTAAACATGTGGTAAAATTGGTGAGAAACATAGAAGTAAAATAGTTTAAATGAAATGTTTATAATTAGCTCATTCATTTTCATACTTCACAAGACTGATCAAATGTTAACAAATATATGTAATTTTTGTTGAAATTAAAATATTCTAAAATAACATTATCGAAACACTTATAATTAGCAGATTCATCTTCATACTCGAAAGACTTATTAGAATTAAGCAAATATATGCAATGTCACATCATCAATTATAACTGGCTTTTTAATCGAAGTAATTTATCCTTTCTTAAGAAAAAGATAATGAGATATTGCAAAAAAGGACAACCATGCAAACTGTGAGAACTATAACAAAATTTTAATTGGTCATGATAAATCGTGAGAATTCCATAAAGCAAAGTATCAATGACCAATGGCGCATAGTTGATGCGACTAATATTGCGAGTTTGGTACATCAGAATTGTGGAAATTGCTCTTTCGGCCACACACTATATGTTTATTTAATTATGTCCCACTCTTTTAATGGAGAAAAAGATATATGAGTTTTGTTGTCTTTTTCTTTTGAGTCAGCTATAGAAAAAATATTAAACTATAGAAAAAATAATAATGTGAAAATATAATATTATACTTTCTGATGATAAACTGAAACAAAGGAGAGAAAAAGTCAAGTCCTATAAATGCATTGAATAGTCAAACTCTATCTTAATTGGAAGTCATAAATAGATTGCCGTTAATCCAAATTGGATTTCAATTTTGAATTTATAATATTTATCATACAAACTAAAAGACAAGAGAGCTAGCATTTTTAATATGAAAATAATTGTACGTCTAATATCAGTGCCTAGAGTTGTTAAACTAAACAAGTCATTCGTAAGCTCGACTCATTAAAGTTTGAACATTATTTGTCTTATTTTGTAAACAGTTGAGCTCAAACTTAATCCGCCGAGTTCGGCTTCTCTTGTTAAACTAAAGAATCGGAGTTCTTTTTTTTTTTATGTAATTTTCTAAATTAAAGCTCAAGTTCACGAGGTGAGCTCGAACAATTATTGTTTCTAAAGACGGACTTAACTCGGTTCGACTCGATTTGATTAAAGTTCGAGTTCAAATTTAAATACAAAATTATTGATTTTTTATTTAAAAATATTGAATTTGACCCGACCCATTTACGACGCTAATCACGAAGGATTAGGTGATTAAATATTAAGGAGTTACTATAAATATTATCCCAATTCATATAATAGATAATAAATGCAAACGAAATTAGTAAACTACCGATCCNTCAAAAAAAAAAAATGCAAACAAATTAACCGGCCATTTATTAGAAATAATGATAAAAAGAGGGGCAATAATTGAAAAGCCACAACCCTAGAACACAGCAATATCACTCAACGAATTTCAATTTTTTCTATTTATTTACTAGTATGTACCCGTGCGATGCACGGTAGGCGCGTAATTTAAAACATATTAAAGTACTTATTTTAAATATAATTAATTCAATTTAACATCTAATTATAGAAACAAAAAAAAAAAAAAAAAGAAATCATATATTATTAAAAACTTCTCTGTACACAACATTATTTGTTTGATTTGGGGGCAAATCATGTTCACCACATATTAGAATTTTCAGACCCCTTCTGTTGGTGACGCGCGAAACAGCAACATATAATTGGCCATGACTGAAAACTGGTTTCTTCAAGAATAAACCAACGTGAGATAAGGATTGGCCCTGACTCTTGTTAATAGTCATTGCATAAGAGACCACGATAGGAAACTGCCTTCTTTGAAACTTAAAAGGTACTCTTGCATCGGAAGGAGTTATCGTCATTCGAGGTATCAACACTTTATCCCCTGCATGATCGCCCGTAAGTATCCTACATTCTAGGACATGATTGGAGAGTCTTGTTACAACCAAACGTGTCCCGTTGCACAATCCCATAGAATGATCCATGTTCCGCAACAGCATAACCGGAGTTCCCACCTTCAGATGCAACTCATGATTTGGTGTACCAGAACACTTGAGAGAATTTAAGAACTCAGGAGTGTGGATTTCTGACAAGAAGTCAGAATCCAAATCGGATTTACACGTACTGTCGGAGCTCAAATATACACGACCTTCTGTTAGATTCAACGACGACATGTATTGGTTGATAGACTCAACGATCTCCAACGTAGGTGCAAGTATGGCTCTGTCCTTCAGATAACTTGGATCATCTGTTGCGTTCTTGAACATTGGATACGTGCTCTCAACAATTGCAGCAATGGGGTCATCGGATGGGTCT